CGGCGTCGAGTAACGCAACTGGCCTTGGTTCACCTCAGAATACAAGAAATGCTAGCAGTGGGAGTACAACTACCGATTCGCATCGACGTTCATCCGATCTGCATTCGCCGAATTCATCTTCATCAAAGCAGATTCAGAAAGAACGGTAAGTTATTTTGCGCAATAACTTCAGATCACCACAGTGTTTGACAAAATATGAAATTTTTATTATGAAGCCCGTATTATTTTTCACCACTTTTGCAGAATGCCACAGCATCGACTTTCGTCATCACGGCGGCAGTCTCGAGAACGAGAACGTGATAGGGAACGAGGAAATTCAAGTAGGACTGATGAACGATCTCAGCGAAGCAGGACTTCAGGCAACAATGATCGGTAAATTATCATCAGTTTTGTAGTATATCGAATTTTGCAAAAAAAAAATTATAACTCTTTTACTCTGAATAAATATAGCATTCATTGAACTGCACATCTCTGATTTTAGACGAATAGGTACTAGTGATTCACGTACTTCACGGCGATCACGTCATTCGCCGCGTCCATCTGCGTCATCTGATTCCAGTCGTGACTCAGCAAGTCCAAGGTATGTGGTTTTAAAAGTACTGCTGTAAATAAGGAAATTATGGAAAGGGCAGACTGAATATAAGTTTTAAACACTTATGAACGAGATATTCGGATTTGCAGTTCTATATATAAATTGTTTTTTAAGTGGTTCATCATTTGGGTATTGGCCAGATCGTGTTGTTTTTGAAAGGCCTTGAGGGTGTCTGCAGAATTTAATACATGTAAAGATGTAAGGATGTCTGAAGCGTTTTCTCAGCATCTAGTTGGGATTTTTTTATTGGCATTGTATATTTGCTTTGTTTTTTTAGCAGTCTGCAAAAGGTTCACATATTCCGTGGATCATGTAATTTGTTTTAATATTTACAATAGATAGAAGAAATTGTTAGTTATCGAAGAATTTTTCACACCTTTATTTACTTTCCTATTGAGAAATCATTCAGTGTTTTTATATGGCTTTTAGGCTCACTTATTATGGTCTATATATCCAGATAAATTCGTATTCGGAATTCTGCATCGCTCTTTCTTTACTTTCGGTTCTTTTTGCTTCAGAAAAATGGAAAAAAGATTTTAATTGATGGTGTTGTAATAATTTTTTCACTTTACTTTATTCATTGTAAAATGGCAGGAAAACCTGTGACGAAATAAAAGGAATAAAGTAAAATAATTTAGCTTAGTAGTCAAAGATTGTTCATGTTGTTCAGGCTAAGTGATGCAACCATACACCAATGGAAAATAGAAGTGTTTTTTTATTCAAATGCTCGATTAGAAAAGTTTTCGGCATTTACTTTCGATTCTATTTTTTTCCCCCGTTTTTAGTGGGTCCTCTGGACATCATCATCATGCATCGAACATCCATACTGTGCAGTCAACAGTTATCAAGCTGGGAGCATCAAGTTCGCGACGCAGCGATACAAATGCATCTAATGAACTGTCCACGTCAGGTGCTAACCACGACAGCTTATCAAGTGTCTCTCAAGGCATTCAGGGTTTGTTATATTATTACTGTTATTGTTGCATGACATATCAGGATACTTTCACTTATTTTCTGTTTCTGTCTGGAGTAATAAATGGTCTAAATATGCATAATTTCTTAAGGCATCTATGTATCCAATTTGCCGTCTTCGCGTACAGAAGGTTTTCTGAGAGACGGCTTGACGAATTTCTTCAAAAAATTTGGTAAAGTGGTTCACATCATGTTTGAGACCGAATCCGGTCCAAATTTTGTAGAACAGCGACGAGCACTCATCATTTTCCAGAGGTAAATGTTCAAGACTTATGTGTGACATTAGAAAACCTGAAAATATTTTTATGGAAGAGTAGAAATCGGACCAGGTTTAAAGTCTCTTTCACATGTTCATACATTGTTGGCTTTGCCTTTGTATTAAGTGTTATAAAAAATGGTCGAAAATTTATTTTCATTGATTAAATGAGTCGATTATTATACCACTAAGCAAATATTGAACAAGATCTAAGAATTCAGTCTAGTACCTAAGGCCTATTGTTATTTTCTTGTTTATTGCATATGGCTAGTTCGCAAGGAGATTTTTAACTAAAATGTATTCACATGGCGTAAAGTTTTCCAAGTTTCATGAATTTGCAGATTAATAGATGTTGACAAACTCAAAGACGTTCATCACTTGTTTGGATTACGGCTGAAAATCAGATTTGCAAGTCACGCTGCCGTCACTGAAGCTCACAGCACATATCTAGCAACAAATGGACAGGTGAATACATCAAGTCTCAATTCTGCATTAAAGGATTTGTAGCTGAAAACTTTTTTGCCACATGTTTTTGCGGAAGAAATTTTTTGAAAGTTTGAGAGAACTGACAGATGACCTGCTTAAACATTTATCATATTGTTTATCTCTTTAACTCGAAAGTTACAGGAATGCTTGTCATCTCAAGATTCAACTGCAATACCGAGTTCTTCAACGGTCGATGCGCTGGCAAGTCGAGCTTCTCGAACTTTATATGTTGGCGGCTTAGAAAGACGAACAACTGATGATTCTCTTCGCTCCCGTTTTAGTTGCTTTGGGCATATCCTGGAAACAGGTTATTTTTGCCTATTTTCAGTATAGCATGGTAATGAAGTTTGTTTCTGCTTGAACTCGAAATCATCGTTGTTGCTATGATCTCTAGAAGTTTGGTAATAAATAATAAGTCAAAAAACAAAGGATAATGTTTTTTAAAACTTAATAAAATACTGACTTAAACTTCTTGATATAGGTAAAATTACCAATTTTTCTATTTTATCACGGCGTTTAAATAAGAATGTTTCGTCTGTTTCAAATAAAAATATTATTAATAAAGATCTGAACTGATAAATTTGAATTTAGAAGTCAAGAACTGGGAAAGTCCATCACCATTTGCTTTTATACAGTTTGCGGATATACATTCAGTTGTCTGTGCAATTAATGCATATGCTCAGTCGGCACATTCGTCCAGTGGCAAAAGTAAATTAAAGGTAACTATTAGTTTATTGTTAATACATTTACTGTTTTTTTTTTCTATGTTAAAATTTAAATTTTGTTCAAGATAGAATAATGTACACATATTACAATAATTGACTGTAGCTTCCCGTCGCAGTATTGATATTTGACCTTTTCCATCAATTTCGATGGTAAAATTACCAAAAATTATTGATGAGTATGAAGATTTAGCAATCAATTTTTTTTTTCTTCAGATGAATTGGGGCCGGACAATTGTTAGTAATAAGATTTGGATTGGTGAGTTGCCGTCGAGCTGTTCGTCAGATTATTTACGTGAAAAAATTCGAGTATCGTTCACAGATACGTTCAATGAGGTCATATATGATCCACGTCATCGGGAAGCCCTTCTTTTATTCAGCAACAATGAGAGTGCTCAAAGAGCATTTTCAATGATTAAAACAAAGCAGGTGTACGTATTTTGTTTTGAAGACTATTAGTTTTTGTTACTATTATAGTTTGCTTATTAAAGTAAAATTTCACGCTCCATAGGATTAGGCGTGTGCTGAAATATATCTTCGTGAAAATTAATTTAAAATAATTTGCAAGAAAAAGAAAGAGATGTATTGCAGAGCTTTTTGGAATGCGGATGAAAAAAAGGATGTTCACGTGCCAGTAGATTACTGTTCAGAAAAGCTACATGATTATTTCGTAGACCGAAAATTTCGTGGCGAATCCGGAAATACTCGTAAGTTTTTTTTTTTTGGAATACACTTAATTTTACTGAAAAAGTTCAAGATGTTCGCAGCACTTTTGAAAGATATTTGAAATAAGAATTTTATAGTTGTGAATGGTAGTGGATCAAGTTCGTATGCTGGCAACAGCACATCAGCTTGTTCTAGTGGTGGAGCAGCGATAGCATCGACGTCTGCTTCATCGTTACTTGCACCACCACCTGACCCACCAAATTATCTTCGTGACACGTCCTCGAGGTTTGATCGACTGTTTTGGTTTACAAATCTTTTGTATTGTTAGGATTGATTTAGTAGCTTGTCTTCTAATGTTTTCTCAAGTGCACATCCACACGTCCACATGGGATAATAATGTTAGATGTTCATTCATTCTTGAATATGTATCTTTTAAGGGTTGAATGTCGGAGGTCAGGCTCAAGTATGGTATCGCGGAGACGAAGAAGTGATGAACGAGAGGGCTGTAGAAATTCGTCTCGTTCTTTACGATATTCGTCATACAATAGGTTTGAAATGTTTTAAATCTTAGTTTTTGCAATGCATATAGTTAATAAATAATATCCGAATAAGTATTGATTCTTCTATTGCAGATCTCGACGACGACGTGAAGGAGCTAGACGGAATGATGTATCTCCTTCGTCATCATCAACCTCTTCAACATCCAGTGATTCTGATTTAAGTTCTATTATACCAGATAGAAAACGTACAAGCGCTGGTCACTCGAAGAGTAACATTCAACGTTTGCACAGGGATAAGGTGAAAATAATTTGAAGTTCGATAAAGATATTGTATGAGTCAGCTGCAGTCGAGAATATTTATTTCATAAGCATTATCGTTTCTCCGCATCGAGTTTATGGTGGATTTTGAATTATTATTATTATTATTTCATTTATTTTTATCCAGTTGCTTACTCATTTATTCTCAAGTATGTTTCAGACTCCCGTGTATCGTTCCAGTTCACGACAGCCCAATTCTCCGAGTAGCAAGTCTGATCGGAATTTCGAACAATCCAACAGCAGCATCGGAGTCACAGTTCAGACTGTCACAAGTCATAGTAGCTCAAGATCAAGCCTGTCGCAGCTGCTTCCACCTCCCATGCCGTCGGCACAAATTCTGAATCCCGTTGTAATGACAACGCTGAGCGAAAAGAAACAGCAACAAGAGTTTCATCAGCCAATGGAAGCAAGTACGAGTGAACGTGAATCAGTTGCAGTTGTAAGGCACATCGATTTTAAGCATCAACAGCCATCGTCAAGTTTGTCAACTGACAGTGAACTACCGCATGAAACAAACGGAAAATCAACGACAGAACAGCGAAACAAGAAAGCGGAGCACCAGCAGCAGACGTAAGCTATTTCATTAGATCACGAAGTTACCTGCTATCTCAGTATAGTACTGTAAATGAGGAAGAATGAAGAATGCTTTTCGTATGCCTATCGTTCAAGAAAATTGCTTGCTAGACCGAAAGAGTAGACCATCCACGATGTAACACTTATGGTTAATCACACAAGTTTTTATACACATGGGATTTTCCTAATGCTATTTTTATGGGCAAAGTTAGACGGAACAGGAAATATGCACCAGATTATACTTTTAATTGCTTCAAATTATTTGATATTCTAAGGTGGCAATATTGACATCCTAGTATTGTGAAACTTGGTGACGATCAGTTAACACTCTATATTTTGGTGTTTGAAACTTATCGAATTTTCAGTGATACCAAACGATTAGAGAGCAAAGGATCACACGACAGTGGTTTTTATAATCCTGTAGTACAAGGAAATTTTACTGCAAACGAAATAAGTGCAATAACGGTATGGCACTTGCATATTCTTGAAGTGCAATCTAATAAAATGTATTCGTGTCGGGATTGGTAGGTAGGCATTTGAATATTAGTATGAAGGAGGCAAGCTGTGAAGAAGTATTGCAATATTATTTCATTAAATCTTTTCATATGTCTACATTAGTTTGTAATCTTACAGTATTACATTTGCATTTCGGAGGCAAAATCTTTGAAATACTGAAATCATTATTATGTGAAATATAATTTCAGTCAAATCGAATTGAAGAAATTGCTAATACTTTGGTAAACGTACTCCAACATCATTCCAAAGCATCTACATCGACAACTGCGAGTGCTCCAATAGCTATAATGAGTGGGACTCATCAGAGCCATACATCGACTTATTCAACCCAACGATCTACTGACGATGCCAGCGATAGTGGCAGACATCATTCCAGTAGACAGTCTGCCTCTTTCAGTAAACGCACCAAATGGCCATGGGGTGTGTTACATTTATCTTAGCACATATTGGCTTTAAAGAAGTTTAATAGGAAATACAGAATTGCACATTGTTTAGCATTATATTTATTATAATTATAATTATTCAGAACTGTTATAATTTAAGATAGCTAATGTTAGAATTATTATAATTAAAAAATCAGCCAAACAGTTGGTTTGGCTTTCTGACTTCTCATGGATTGGAACAATGAATAGCGTTGCAAATAATATGATAAATTAAGAAGTGACTTGATTTAAAGTAGGAAAGTATATTATTAAAAAAGCTTTTTATTAAAAAAATTAAAAAAAAACATATTTATCAAAAAAAAAACCATATTTAGTGATGTCGGTTTTAATTCTAGGAAACGACCCGATTAAAAATCACTGTGCAATTCCTTTGGATGGAAGCGCTAATCGAGGTAAAGACCCACGACACCGGAAATATTCGCCGCAAACTTCCATCTCATTGCCGTTACCGAAATTTGTGCACGAACATCGTTCTACGCCGAGTAGCTCACGTCGGAATAGTATACCGGATCCATTCCGTTCTCCGCCGCAACAGAGACAGGAATCGAGATGCTCAAGGAACTCTTTATCAACTCCAAGTTCCACTCTTGCTGGTCAGCCATATATTTTGTTTGAAGTTAGGTATTGTGAAATATAATTTCTTAACTTCTTTTTCGACATGTTAAATTGGCAAGCTAAGAAATTAGTTGAATGGAACCGAAGAGTTCGAGAAACTGATATAATTTAAACGATGAATAGCTTGACACGGTTGTGATGATGGACTTCGTTTATGATGTACGTTTATTGTATGAAATCATGTTATTGTGACAGGAGCGAAGCTGCAGATTGTGGCAATACTGAGAGTAGTCCATACTGCGTAATCAACAAGCGGTCATGTTTCATGATAAGGATTGAATTCATTTGATACTGTTGCAGGATGCAGTTTGAAATGTAGCGCTGTGGAAGGCTCACCTCCACAGAAGGTGGCTAGAGGGCGAACACATTCATCAGTGTCAAGATCGGAATCAAGTAACAGTGAAGCGATGCTTTCTCCTGATCCTTCAAATTCAACTACGCAACCTTCATTAGTGACAAGTGCCATAGATATTTTCGGGAATACATCACCTGCCAACAATTCGAGTGCTTATCGTGAACGACTTGATGCACTGGGAGCTACTTTTCAAAATATCGAGCAAAAGTTTCAGGTCAATTCTATTAAGTTACTTAGTCGGCTTAATAAGTTTAAAAAGGTTTTTCTACAGAATCTTGTTATATTTGACTATTCTTCTATATAGCGTTAATTTTGCTATAAATTTAATGCCTCGCGAATTTTTCTCAGGCCTCGTTTCCCTTGATGACTTCAATGGCTTTTTTTATTGTTTTCAGCATTTAACATTTTTCTGTAAATGTCTCTAACATTAAAAAATTGCTCAGAAATTCTTAAAGTCACGAACCCGATAGAAATTCTTAAAGTCACGAATCCACATATAACGGCCATGTCGTAATCGCAATTTTTATCATCGATTTTTTCTTTTTCTACAATTCGGGTCTTTTTAGAAAACCAAACAGAATACCCACTTGGATTACGATCGTAAAGGATCATCACAACGCAGTTACAACTTCGAAGAAGAGCTGGAACGACTGAAAGCACGAACTGGTTCGTCCAGTTCAACGGTAACCACCTCGCAGTCAATAACAACCTGTTCTACAGCTTGTTCTCATTCGACATCTAACACGTTCACCGACTCATTTACCAGAGCGAGAACTAATGGCAGTGGTACTACAACGATTTTGGATTCGAAGGATACAGAAAGCCAGAAGCTGATTCGTACTCCACTTTCTGTCTCCATCCCAATGCCATCTACTTCTTTACCTTCTACTGCTTCAAGTCCCTATACAACAGTTTTTTATACCGCATCTAGCAGTTTATCCAATCTTCCGTCACCACAATTTTCTAGCGCTCAACTCAGGAAACCCCTGTTACCACCGAACATTACACAGAGCAATAATCAGACACCTACGTCGGTAGCTGTGTCGCGTATTGCTTATCCTCCAGATTTTAGTGTTCCACCTCCACCGCTTCCACAACCTCCGGTACCTCCAACATTGTCTTTAACGGCATACAAATCTACAATTGCTGGCACTTCTCTGATCTCAGCTCCACCTCCACCGCCTCCATTGGTATGTATTTATTGAATTGTTTTGTTAAGCAAATTTTTCCATGAGAGTTATAGTATCTTACTACAAAAAGTTCAATTACATTGAGAAAACTATGCCGGTTTTTGCAGTCTATGGTTTTTTTTCACTGGGATTTCTCTCATTTTAAGGGAGATATCACTCTTTCACGGATCATATATTCTTTGTATATATTTATGCATTTTTTCGACGTAATTATTAGAATGATTGCAATGAATAGTTCAAAAGATGATTGGAAGATGTTCAGTAATTGTATCAGTGAGGATATTGTACACGGATATTCGATGGTTAAACGTATGATACATGATACTATTGATGAAATATTTGTAAGAAAAGTTTTTTATACATGAATGTTTTCTGATATTTTTATTTTCAGGTGTGTAATAACACATCTCATTTATTCGATCCAACATCATCATGCTCTACCACATCGCTTCAGCCACCAGTACGTAGTGTCGGTCCCCAGAGCGATACTACGCAGTCTTTATCCTGGAGAACTTCAACAAAACCTTCTACCCCTCCACCTCCAACTGCATATTCCACTATTACTTCAAAGCAAACCTCAGTCTCTTTTGCATCTAGCACTTCAAAACCATCAACATCTGATTCAGTTCCTGCGTTAGAGATGGATAAAATACGATCACGGAATCAAGGAACTGATAAGGTTTATTCTTCGTTATTCTAAGTGGGATGATCCTCCTTTAACGTAGTTGGGAAATTATATGTTGTTTCTTAGATTCAAGAAATTATTGCTTTAATTTTTTTCAATTTAAGTTACAGGTGAAAGAGAAAGACCATGTGAAGATGATTTCGAAGTCCCACTTGCCTGAGAAAAAAGTATCAAAGGATTCTACAAACAAACAACCTTCATTAAGTGAACTATTCCGTCAACAAGTAGGATTTTTTCAGAATTTATTAGTTTGCTTAATATAGTGATTTTCTTTCCTTTCGTAAATGCTTGGAAGATTTATAGTACCATGTTGAAATCATTAGATTCGTATTTTTCTTGTGTACATGATCAATTTTCGATCATTTTTCGCTTCATTGTTGATAAGAAATGTTTTGTTACAGTTCTTTTTTATATATCTTTACTGTAGGCGCAGGATTCATCAGAAGTTCTTAAAAAGCAGCTGAAGAAAGTCAGGAAAGAGAAAAGCGATGAAGCGCTACATCATAAATCGAATAATGAAAACAAAAAAGCAATTGAAGGCGTGAAGGAAAAACATTCCAAAGAAAATGAGAAAAAGGTATTTTTTTGACCTTTTACTGAGTACTGAAATAGTATAGTTGCTTTTAAAATTTTGGTTATAAAAGCAGCTTTGTCATAAAAACGTTGGAATATGTCCTGATTTGGATTTTGCTTAATAACTACAACGGCAAGTAACACTGATTAAAAGAGCTACCACCAAAGATGTAAGGTGCATCCACTTTAGGATCAAAATGTAGTTGAAAAAGAGAAAAAACATACTGATGAGGGAAGCCAATCACAGGAAACGAAGCTGAAAACCGCTACTCAGAAGCAATTGAAAGAAAAAAAGGAAAAAAAAGAAGTGGTATGTCATTTCTGGCTTCTACCCATACTAGTATATTTAAAAACATTGATCAGTTTTACGGGTATTTCGATAGATTTTCTAGTGTTTCCGCTTTTTCATTCGTTGGGTTCCAGAAGGAAAAGGGCAAGGAACACGATGAAAGTGGCGAACTTACCTTGGAAAAGAGAAAAAGACAACGATCAGCGGAAAAAAACATTAAAAATAAGTCGATGAAGGACAGCGTTAGTGTTAAACAGAGGGAAAAGCTTAAAGAAAAAGAACAACTGCAGAAAGATCGTGCAAAGAAGAGGGTATTTTTTAAAAAATTTTGTTAATGAAATATCGAATTCTTTGCATGAAGATCCAAGATTTGTTCCATATGTTATTGTTTGTGATTAAGCAAAAGTTTTTTCTCCAAGCGTAACTTTTGTTGTAGCAAGAGGAAGAAAGACGTAAACAGAAAGAAAAAGAAGAGCAGAGAAAGAAGAAGGAATTAACGAAGAAAAGAAGGCGAAAAAAGGAATCGAGCTCGAGTTCGAGTGAAGAAACATCATCATCTGAAGTAGAACTCCATGTAAGTAACAGCTATTACTCTATTGTAAACTTAAAAAGTGTTTTTGTATTTTTAGATACATTTGAATTTAAAGTAATTGCCAGCATATCTGATTGTTCATAGAAATTTCATCATAATCATATTAATTTTTTAGTCATTTGACCGGGAATTGAAACGATTATTCATGGAGGAAGAAGCCTCTGGGTCGCTAGGTTTATCAATGTACGATCGAGTCAAGCAACGCTCGTCCTCGAAGCCAGATGATGCAGCCAGAAAGAATCGAGCACTGGAATTGTTACAAGAAAGAACACAAAGTCGTCGAAATAACGAACAGGTATTATACGAAATTGGACTTTGAATTTTAGAATTGAACTTTTTTTTTATAAAATTAAATAAGACATTTGTGATTTTCTGTGATATTATGATTAATATTTGTTTACAGTAATGTTTTTTAGAACCGGCCAAAAAGGGTGCAACTAGAGAGTTCATCATCTGCTGATGAGAAAGATTCATTAAACGATGATGGAGAATCCGATAATTCGTCGGCTCTTTCAGTAGATGCTTCTAGAACCCGTAACAAGAAAAAGAAAGCGGAACCGAAAGGCAAATCAACGAAAAAAGAGAAGTCAGGCGACAAAACCGAGTTTAATGATGATGACGATGATGGTGATGATAATGATAACGATGATAATAATGCGGTAATATTTTTTATGTTAATTTCCTGACACTGATGAAATTGTGGGGAAAATCGTTAGGAGGAAATTCGCAGAATTCCGGAATTTAACCGTTGGTGTAATGTAGGATCGTATGCATAAAGAACTGTTATGTCGGATAAGAGGGTAATCATATCATTTAGAAGATTTACTGGATTGACAAGTGGCATGTTGCCCTTATTATTTTTTTTAAGAAACCAATTTGGAGAATTGAAATTTCTTTCATTATTTTTTATACGATTGCATTTGTAGATTGAAAAAGATTCAGAAAAGTCTGAATCGGAGGAAGAACGCTCGAAACGAAGATGTAATCGGAAGGCGGCAACATCGAAATCTTATAAAAAACAGGTACAGATACACTGCACTCATATGTATTTTTAGAATTAGTGTTCATTAATACTAGCTAATATTATCCTTATAAAAAGATTCCTTGAATAGTTAGAATATTACTAGAGAGATTGAGAGTGATTACTTATATAATCAAACTTTTTTCTAATATATGGTTAAATTTACTGGTACTTACCTAAATCTTGGTCATCTTTTTAGAGGACTGGAAGGAAGCTCACTTTTTATTAAACGTGATGATTTTGCAGAAAAAGACCTCGTCATTGTCACTGGACGATGTATTTGGAACTTATTCCACAGATGATGAATCCACGAAACATTCCAGAGGTTCTATTGTTCCATCGTTATACAAAGAAAAGAATGAAAAGGAAGAAAGTGGTAAAAAAGCTATTACAAAAATCGATGAAAGTCAGAAATCAAAAAGCGAAAAGGAAAAGACAGAGAGTACTAGGCGTTTAAGTTTAAAAAAGGAGCGAAAAAAGGAAAAGCTGGACGAAAGTGAAAACGAATCTGTTGGAGAAGAAAATAAAGTAAAAAAACATTTGCCATGTTCTAATTTGATTTCAAGTTTTTTTCTTTTAATGTATCGTAAAGTCGTACATGTTAATATTGTCAGATATTTCTGTTAATGTTGTCAGATATTGCTGATTGAAGATGTACACATATGTATGCTTCCCGAAAATCGTTTTCACACTGTAAGAGCGATGAGTATCTAATTTAAAACAATTAGGTAATTCTACATAGATGGAATCAGGACACGATATGATTAGAGGATGAGATTGAGCAATAATTTTAGCTTGTAGAAAGATCGTCAAATCTGTGATTTTTATTTTAGATTACCCCACGGAAGGTGGAAAGCAAACAGGTCTTCGAGAAATCAATCGAAAAAAAGGTTACTGGTAAAAAACGATTCGGCAAAAATCATGAGGTGGGTGAAGCTATCATGACAACCACTGAAGGAGCTCCGGAAAAAAAGAGACAGAAAACGGTATTTGTTTTTTTTTTCTCTTGAAATATGAATATATTATCTGATATCAGTGCGAATGCAGTTATGGGATTATTGAAATTCATTTCACAACGTTTTAAAGCATCGAATTGGCTTAAATGTTTAATTTTTCAAAATTTTTTGATTTGTGTACAATTGTTGGAATGATCCATGCCACCTTAGAGAGTAGTAATAAAATGAATTTAGGTTTCATCATTTTAGGAAAAATCTTTGGTTGAAATTTCAATGTTCCGAGAGGACGATAAGAAGGTGGTTAAAGGGAAGACATTCACCACATTCGAACAGAAGAAAAAAAGTCGAAAGCCTGGAACTAATGGACAGTTTGAAAAGAAATTAGCGAAAAAATTAAAAAGAGAACAGGAAGTATGGTTTTTGATTTTCATTAAAATTATGGGGTCGTATTGTTGCAATAAAATCTAATGACAAGTGCTACTGCCTCTCCCATTTCAACAGATTGTTGAAATTCGTGATTGCTTAATAATTGGCTCATTAAAAATATTTCATTTTACTCATAAGTAAAAGGAAAGGGAAAGACGATTCTTTCAAGCCGGTTTCGTTAATTCTACTGTTGTTTTGGTTTGTAAAATTCGTTTTCATGATTAAACATAAGTGATAAAAAATCTTTTCCACATGTTAATTTGGAGCTTGAAAAGATAAATGTCCAAAAAAACTGGAATCATTGTAATGGTTTCGTATATTTCAGGAGCGACATGAAGAACAGAAACGAGAGGTAGATGGAGCAAAACAAAAAGATGAAAAATTACAAAATGAAAACCAACGACAAAAAGTAGATAGAGCTGAAAGTAGAAGTAGTGATGGCGCTGGAACATCTGATGTTCCTAGTCTGAGTGATCAAAGTTCAACTGCAGTCGTTCAAAGCCATGCATCATCTAGCGTCAAAACTGTCCGGAAAAGATATCTTAGAGCTGAAAGTGCGTGTTTTTGATGTACTTGAAAATTTTTATATCTCACTGATTATGTATATTATCTTTTATTCTGGATTTAGATTCTGAAAAAGTGAAAAGGAGTAGAAAGGAACCGAAATCGCCGACAACAGATGTGTCCCGGATGGATTCTGATTCTTCCGAGAATCTGAAAACAGATGTGACAGCAGTGAAGCAGGAGCCAAGTCAAGTTAGTTCTTTGGAAATTTTTTGTGTTAGGTCTTTTTTTGAAGAAAACAATTGATAACTTTGGGATCAACGTTTTAAACATATTACCTACAGCAATATATAAAAAGTGGTAAAGAAGCGTTACTGTTGGAACTGAAAACCTTACATATCCAAGCGAAATGTTTTTATAAATTTAATTAAATAATTTTTACGTAAGGTGGGTTTTTGTTTCAGTCTCTAGAAAAAATTGATGTAAATAATATGAGAGATAGTGCATCCGGACGAGAAAGCAAAAGTAGTTCACCATCCAATCGTACGAATACAGGTTTTGATCTTCTACAGTCAGTGAAGATGGCAACGACAGCTACACCTCTCACGGCAGAAATCGAGCACACTGTATGTTCGTATTCATTTTGGGCTCAGAAATCTTTTTGTGGGAATGCTTTTCATTTCTGATTAGGAATGTGAGTCTTGTCTAATCAGCATGGAAAGGAAAGTGGGATTGGAGCATATTCTTTATCCTTTGTCAGATGGAAGTTTTCAATTCTCAGGAAATGGATTGTGTTTCGGAAGAATGTTCAACGAATACAGCTTTATACACCAGATCGAATGAATATTGTTCACCTTGTAACATATCACGAGATGAGTTAGATCAGTCCAAAAAAATTGACTCGATAGTGCAGAAGCTGGAAACCGATGGATCTTCAATGGCGGCAGATAGTATTATTGTATCCAGACACCCCGTAAGTTCTTTCTTCGGTGTTTTTCCTTCTGCTTAGGCTTCTTTGGCTTTATTGTTTGCAACTACTGCTTTGTTATTAAATTTTCTTTTGCGTACATGAAAATTCGGGCTGCATTTTTTGTGGTCCGTGGGTGAGAACAAGTACGGCGTGGTAAAATGGTTAATATCGTAAGGTCCTGGGAGGTTGGTGTTCACTTCTTTCCGGTGTACGATTATAGTTAGTTTTGGTGATATTTTGCAAATTTTATAGAAACGAGAGATTTCATTAGCTCTTTATATACAAAGGAAACCATGAGAACTTTTATTACGATTAGAAAAGCCGAATATTTTTCTATCTCTTCTTTCCGAACTGCAGTTTTTTTCTGCAAGTATTAAGCTATGCTTCTACCATTTTTTTTTTGCAATTTTTTCCCTAACGAAATTTATTTTTTTCCAAAATATGCATGCACTAAATAAGTTGTATTGCACCAACCAGCGAATATTAGAGGAATTTTTCCCAAATCACGGAAGGAACAGTTTAATATAACGTCCTACCAAATCTGAAAGATTTTGAAACCTGTGGTGGATAAAAATTTGTTCATCTGGCTGAAGTTTTAAAGATGTTATCAAAGTTTTAATATTCTACGGGGAAAAGTTCAAAAAGATTTTTGGTTTATGAATAAAAAAATTTTGGATGATATTTTTTCTTCTCTAAGAATTTTTTTGCATGCGTGCACGAAGTTAGCATTCATTGAGAGTTAGTTGATATGCTTCACTGCATAACGTACTCGTGTTCTGGATAGTTTTTCCCGAAAGTTCTAAACATTTTATGACTATCCTCAGCTCATTTTTTTAATTCTCATGCTACTCCTTCTCATATGCATGATTGGAAAAAATGACTACGTACTTTAAACTATGTTTCAAAAACATGGAGGATTTTTTTTATCATATTTAGTTAGCATTTTACCCAAAGATGAATAATGCCATGGATAAAGAATAAACTATTTCAGTGTGATTTTTTATTTTGGTGGTTTTTCAAAACTAAATTTAATTTTTCCAAAAGAGCAGAATTAATATTACATTGATTTAAAATGCAAATGCTTAGTTTGCATTGTACGATAATTGATGTATCAAACATAATAGAGACGTGGGAAACACATATTGCATTTATGTTATAGCCGGAAGATGCGCATCTCAATCAAAATCGACTAAATCAACAAAACCATCAAGTGCTCTGCATATCAGATGATGAAGGAATTGTTGATCGAAATGTTATTGGTCGTAAAAATTCAGTATCTTCCACGAATAGCAGTGAAAGTGGCCAAACAAGTTTGTTATCAACATCATCGGCAAATCTAGAAACTCAACTGGAAGATGGCCCTGAGGATCAGCAGCGGCAGATTTTGGGGTCAGAAAAAATCAGAATTTCGGTATCTACTGAAGTACTCAAGTCCAGTGGTAATTGTGGTACGGAGCAAGAATTTGTCGAGAAAACCGAAAATGAAGAAAAGTTATCTCCCAATGATATGATGGTACAGCTGTCAAATAATAGTGAGCGAATCATCTTTGTACCAAATTCAGATGCCGAATGTTCTGCTGATCCAACAGTTCATGGCGCGGGTATGTCAAGTAATGTACTAACGAAGCAACAACAACAACTCCAAAATCCAGAAGGACTGGGAACGGGTATTTTGGATAGTGTTAATGATGTTGAATCCAATGGGAGTTTCGAATTGATTGACGAAGGGCGAGTCGGTGATGTCGATTCATTACCGGATCAGGATATTGATAATGATATTGGTGGTATTAGGCAGCAACAGTCTACCTATGAAGTCGAACATGTCCGGCAGGAAATGATGATAGAAACAGAAGAGCATGCGGATGGTTCTGAATGTATCGCTACCGTGCGAATGCAAGATGATGTTCACGATGTGCAGGTCTGTGCATGCAAAAAAATTACTGCAAAAAATTTGTTTTATACGTATGTAAATTTATGCACTAAGCAAGCATTTGCACTTTGTTGTCGACATAATACAGTTCAGGTTAACCACACAGCACGTTGGGAGAGGTAGTGCATTTTGTTAGATTCAGCACAGTTTTATAGGTTGTTCACCGAACACGTATTAGGAAAAATCCTTTTTACTAATCTAAGAACTTTCAAGAGGACTTGGCATAAATCTTTATAATCCCAGAAAGTTAAAAAACTAATATAGTAATTAGTTTCGTACATTAATTTTAATTAAGCGTTAACTTTTGCCACATTATTCTGGACACTCTAGACGAAAGTATACATAAGAATTTTGAGATCCGTGAAATTTTTGAGATCTTCATCCATAAAAGTCCAGAAGATAGTTAACATCGTTCTAGTTTCTACGCTGCTCAGACACTACTGGAACGACATGAATCCCTTATGATATCTTTGATTTATATCTGTATGATGTTAGAGTAACACAACACTGCTTTACTGTTGAGGCCAATTACGGTTAGGTTAGGATAAAATTTGTAAGATTAAATGTACAGCTTTTATTAACAGATGATGTGACTATCTGTTTTGTACATTAGTAGAGATGGGTGGGATATTTGAATTAAATTTGATATAAAATAGTCTAAATTTAGATTCAAAAAACAAAAACTGCAGTTGAAATATGATGTTTGTTCTTTTTGCAGGAAACTGAATTTGCTGTGCAGTCGATTGTTTTGGACGATAATCGAAGTCAGCATAGCGGTGAAGATGGTAGCGGCGCTATGGATTATTTGGGTGAAAACGCTGGTGAAACAAGTTCGAGGCGCGATAGTCTCACCGATACAGCAACAATGACCAATATAAATTTTAATGCGAATAAGGAGCAAAGCAATTCACAAGTAGAAGCTGATAATGGTGACAACATTACGTCAAAATCAGCAACTGATGCTGAGCAGAAGGTAATATATGTTCAAATAATAGCAAACAAGAATATAGTGCAGAACTTTTTTGTTTCTGCATTTTGGAATTGAATTCGCTCAGGGTGATTTCAATGTAAAAAAGGACAGTTGTGATTTGTGATCTTATATAAGAAGTAGGTTGGCTACTTTTTTTATCTTTGATTTGCAGAAAATAGAAATTACTTAACTTGTATCATAAAATGGCGAAAAACAAAATAAGCATAAAATCCCATTTCATTATATGGTCTGTAGATGTTGCATCTTTTGTTAGGCTGTTAATCTCATATTTTTGAATTATAGAAGAAATGTCATGGAAATATTATTGCAGGAAATAGAACCGGAAGACAATGACGATAACAAAGGTAAAATGGACGTAGATGATAAACGAAGCGATTCACATCTTGATGAGGTATCTTTTTAAATGTAATTCAGTATTTTATGTACTCATGCACTCATGCATAGATTCTTTTCATATATTAACATTACTGCACCATTATATTGCACTTTCCTTTGATTTTTCCTGGTATCTTTCCGCCGGCTACTGCGCAGTTTTATTTTTTTCAGTTTTACTTCAGGATAGATTTTGTTTAACGCTTTATGCTTTTTTTTATTTCATTTCCCTTTGCTTATTAGAAATAGTAGTGTTTTAGTAGTAGTAGTAGTAGTGTTAGATTACAGTGCTGCTGGATGGATGCAACCCAAATATTACGTAACGTCTTCCGTGTAAAATTTCTATAATTTTTTTGAATGTATTAACTCCTTGATTTACCAGTGCTGCTAGATGTTGGTTTTTATATAGAATGTGGCGTTACCTGCTATAACCCTTAGCTTCTTCTTTGGACGGGCATTACATTGAAAGAAATTTATTTCTTGATAAGATAGATTGTTAGTATGAGTTTTTTTAAATATATAAAACTTTGATTTGTTCAGTGTAGAAAGACTTTTTAAAATCCACTCTATGGAAATATAGATTGTTTTAGTTTTTGAAATAAAATTCTGTTTGACGTAAATAAAGCACAATGCAGCATCAGGGTTGCATCCGCAAATGTGTCCAGACGGCACTGTGAAAAATTTTTGCACCAATTTTTGTAGGTAATTGATGATGTAGTGGCCGGTGGGTATATGGAAGTAGATGCTGAGCAACTAATGCGTATAAACTCAAAGAAGGCAAAAGAGGAAGCAGTTTTACGAGCGGCGGCTGCATCTACGCAAGGAAGCATAACCCCCAAAGTTATGCCATCGATAAATTTCGCAAGGGATGCTGAGACATCGCAATATGATTATCAAAATGCTATACAAGAACCGCCAAATATTCAGCAGCAACAATACGGAGGCAGCGGTTATCATATACAACAGTCACAACACCAGCAGTTACAAATGCCGCAGCAAATGCCTTTGCAGCAGGTACAGTGTAATATTTTAGCTCCCATCTTAAAGTATAATTTATCACCTTGTTTAATCCAATTGTCGGATTAGTTTCTGTTAAAACTGCTTAATCTGAAAATGAGGATTTATTGCGAACTTGATTTATAGAAATGTGTTATGCATGGATCGACAAACTCCTTACCTTCCCCCACTCGTTTTTGTAGACTTGTTATTCCGGGTTTTCTGGAACAAGATGAATCTGTTGGTCTGGAATATCCTTGTATACACCGTTGAAAAAATTCATATGCATTTTGAGTATATTAATAAGACATCCACGTGTGTTATATTTTTGTTTTTGTATTAATAATATCGATATCAGATTTGATGGTGATTAGCTGACAGTAGTGTTAGAGGAAGGTGAGTCCCTTAAACTGATTTATGAAGCATTAATTGCTAATGGCATGTTTGTTTCGGTTTCTGAGTTTGAACTGTTCCAGTACAGCCAACAAATTCGGATCCAATATCCTATTCTTTTTAGGGCCTTTTATCACAACCGCCTCAACAACAACAGCAACAGCTGCAACAAAATATCGTTCATGGTAATAGTCATATGGTACTGCAGCAGCGGCCACAACAGCAGCAGCACATAGGGCAGGCTCTAATGCAGCAACAGCAACAGGGTGGTCGTTTAACTTCTTATCAGCAGTCACAGTCACAGATTATGAAAGTTCCTGAGACGACATACCTTCAACCGCAGCATTTACCACCGATCGAGCAGCGCGTACAAGGAACTACTGCGATACCGCAGCAACAGCAGCAACAGCAACTTCATCCGTTGCAGTCGAAGAATGTAACATCAGGCAATTTACCGCCGTATTATTCGGGCAGGAATGCTGCTGGTACATCCAGTTTTGCTTCACCTCAAATGTCGATTCAACAGCAACAGCAGCAGCATTTGCTTTTGCAGCAACAGCAAACCTCTGATAACATGCAAAACATAACTAATGCAATTAGTGTAGGTGCTGCTATACATACTGTGTCGCAGCTGCCCGATGTGCGCCAACAGGTTGTGCAACCAGCGCCTTCACAACAACAAGCAACACAGCTGGTAGCTCAATCACATCTACAACAGCAGCAATCGATAAGTTACGGTTCACCTATGATGACTCCAACATGTAGTGCTGCAGCTGTCGTAGCTGCACAAACTGTAGTTGCTGCATCCCGACAGCTGGATTTGAACAAACAAATGAGTTTATCAACAGTGCCGCTCCAAGAATCGATCAGTAGCAATCCCTATGATTTATATACTAATCTACCGAAGAAACCAACAGCCGGAGCGGTGCAACCACAGCACCAACAGCAGGTAGTTTCTATTAACAGCTATTCATACTTTTCGTTTGCTCCCATTGGTGTAAATTTATACTATACCTTTTTTTTCGTTAGACATCTGAATTGATCAAAAAAAAATTTTTTTTTCTTGGACATTCACATTGCAGTTGACAAACCGTTCATTGTTTCAAGATTCTCATATGGGATTGGCCAGTTCATTAGTCTCTTTCTTTCTCTCTCTGTCTCTCCATACATATATTTTTTTTAGGCTCAAGTAACTCAGCAACAACAACAGGTGAAAGTTTCCACAGAATTGCGTCAGAATTGTCCTAACCCATCATCGCTTGCTGCTCCATTAATGGGACGTTCTGGTGGTGCATCATCCAATGTAGCTGCAGCAAATTTGCAAACTAGTCGATCGAATGCATCGGTTAGCACTGCACATCAATCAAATCGTGCATTGCAACATCAACAGCAGCAGCAACAGCAACTTTCTCCGACTGCGCAGCAAGCGGTTGCATTTGCAATCGGTTTACCAGGCACCACTTCACCATTTACCCAAATGCAACAGCAATATTTGCAGCAGATGTATCGTTCAACACTCTTCAATACCTTCCAAGGTATGTGCTCAACATCAGTATTTTTACAATGAATGGATTTACTCATTTTGAAATGTTTTCTGATGTTATTATTTGTAGCTGCCATAAATAATAGATGTGGTACTTTGAAAGTGATGACATGAAATCTTTAGATGCTCCGCTGATGTCTTCTTATTAAGAGTTTTTTAAATTATCATTTTGACTTTAAAACAAGGATTGATGTTTTGCAGCGGCAGCAGCAACAAGTGCCTATAGTAGTGGGAATGTAGCTGCTGCAACCGGAGCATATGGATCAAGTGGTTATTCAGGGGCATCAAACAATCCAGCAGCAGCAGTGGCCGTTGCAGCTGCAGGTGTACTACCTGGTACTGTACGGCAGGACAACCAACGACAGTATCAACAGCAGCCGCATCTAGCGGTTAGCTTAGCCCAATTTCTTTGTTTTTCAGTAAGTTGAGCATACTGCTTTGAAAACGTATGTACATACACATCCCTTCATTTTTTGCTTAATAATGCATTGCTGACATCTTGTCTTTCATTTAATCAATTAACTTCATTTTTCACTGGTGTAATATTATTGTCATTTATTGGGGTAAAAAAATTTAGGAGAAAAGAATGGGAAATTCATGCCTGGAAGTTGACAGTTTCTTTCATCAGGTGAAATTTTTTCTCAATTTAATATAAAGTCTTTTGGAATTCTATTATTTTAGGATCTTCAACAACAACAGCAGCAACAGTATTTGACATCTAATCTATATCAGCAGAGTTCGCCAACGACTACGCTTTGCTCTCCGCAACAAGCTAATATTGCAGCTCATCAGCTGAATTCCCTCTACGGTGCTGCCACTGGTACATTTCCTATTTCGTGCGAATCGTCCTTACTCTCTGCACAAGTACGTTTAATAGTTATTTAATTGCTTTGATTTCAAAAAACATCGGGAGTAGAGTTCTGAAAAGATTTTAAAAAGCTTTGATTAAGCTTATGGTACATTTAAAGTTGAATAACCAGAGAATTGGAACTACAGATGACTGGTCAACCAGGAATATATCATGTTGGAGTCGGACAACGTCAACAAGATGTTAAACAACCGTTGAAGCAGAAAATATCGCAACAACAATCGCAGCAGCAGCAAGTAAAGACTTATGCTGGTTTACCGGCTGCGTCAGTTATCGCCGTAAGTTAATGGTTATCTAATATCTCTTTTTATTTTCTTTATTCGATTTTGAAGCTGAGACTAGCTCTGTAATATTGTAGGCGCTCCTTTATCTATTCTGCAATATATTTTGTCTCTTTCATTTCTAACATAGCCATTGCCACTTCAGTGTGGGAATAAACTAAGCAAATCGGATTTCATACAAAAAATTTAGATTTCGTGCAATAATTCTGTGATCTTGTGTGAATTAGTGTGATATGACAGATATATTTTAATTATAGCGATATCCGGTCATGTGGCAAGGGATAATTGCGCTGAAAACAAATGAAACTCGTGTTCAGATGCACAAGGTAGTTATCTTGCTTTGGATGTTAAGAATTGAATATTTCTTTTTTTGGATGGATTGAATTGGAAAGTACCCATTTGTTGTCTTATCCATTAGTCTGTTGCATGCAGCGATAAACTTTTGGGTTTGGGTGAATAAAGAGTATGATTGTTATAATCCCTTTTGCTACATTGTGGATTAACTATTTGAGGAAGGACATAGATATGTGTGTGATGGGAGTAATTTATATGATTGCACAGAACCTTAATTGGTGAGATGGTTCTTGAGCTGTTGGAATCTTGATGTATTTGACGAATGGATAATAAATGGATTTTTGCAGGTTGGCGGCAATGCTGAAATGTGTAAACGATCGTTAGATCAGTTTACAACAACATCGAATCACATGCCATTAATAAGAATTAACCAACGAATGCGTATGGAAGTGGGCCAGCTTGAAAGTATGCATATGCAATCTATTTATTTAGAATAAAATGTTCCAAATTTTATTATTTTGCTAAAGGTTAAAATTTACCTTGAGTGTATTACTGTACACACTGTTTTAGATCCTTCCTTCGAACTGTGAGTTTGATCGACATTTATACTGCTTAGTGAAGTCATGGCAGTGTGTTCAATTTATCAAATAAACTGTCTTTCGTATTATGTGTTTTGCTTTTAGTGTTTGGAGCAAGACAACTTTCTGTTATAGGTGTTCAATGTAAAATGATGGATGAGCATTCGTATATTGCGTTGATTTGCCTTTCATGTGGTCCGAGCAAAGAAGATATAAGGAACCAGTCTGAACTTCTCAAAGAACGTTTTGTTGATTATTTGGAATCAAAGCAAGCTGCTGGAATATGCAACGTTGGCAATGAGGTAGAATGTTTAAATTATTTCGATAGGTTTCACGCTTTTCCAGTCAGCACTTTTCTCTGTGTTTTATCTAAAGTACCCCTGTGGCAGTATGATTTTTTATAATTTCCATAGTTCTTTCGTTCTGGTTGAACGACAGAAATTTTTTTTTCGGTCCAACTTCTTGATTTTTTTAACAATAGTTATATTTAATATAGATCATTCGCTAATTTTAATTTCAAGGTTCCATTATTTCTTAGGAAGAGGTTCTTATGGCTCTTTTTATTTGTGGTAGAATTATGGCAGAAAAATTAGTAATATAAACTGATCGTTGTGGTGTGCAGATTTTGTTAATTATTATATCATCGCTGTAATACTTCATCTATTTCAGCAGAATCCGACACCCAATACCATTGTGCATATCTTCCCGCCGTGTGATTTTGCATCTGCATTCCTGCAGAAAAATAGTCCGGATTTGCTCGAAATATTCAGGCAACAAAAAGCTAGCTATCTTTTCGTCGTCATTACTTCTGCTAATTAGTCCTCTGAAACAAGGAAATCTTCATTGTAAAATAATACCTTGAGGGAGCGGTATATTCAGAAATGTCCTGATCAATGTAAGGAAGTATTGGGATGGAAATTTGTCGGATAAACAAAGAAGTTATGGTATGTTGATCTCAGATGTATACTATAATTCGTTCATTGTTTCATTTCAGGAAAAATATTTCTTCTTTCTTCCAAGTTAATTTTCTTTAGTTTCTGTTAATGTTTTATTCGGGGAGTTTTTTAAATTTTTTGTCCCAGTATGATTGTTTGTTGTTGAGTCGAATATATGATAGTGAGAATGTTTGAGCTGCATATTTGCAATGAGTGATTAATGGATATTACATAGCCAAATGTGACTCCATGAATGGTCTTTATATTGTCAAATCAGTAGTATGCTTGTTTTCGTCCGTTTACATACGTTATCAATGCAGCAAGCAATGTTTTCATGCTAGGAAGTGTTTTATATCTTTAGTTTCTAATGATGCTGAAAGAGATTAATGACGGTTAATGGTACCACACGCATTTTACGAGGTTTTCCGTTAGTATATGGTTTGGTACTTCATCACCGCATCCTGCACCGGTTTTTTATTGTTTTCTTTTTTTTTCTTTCACTAAGCTTTTTTCTTTCGGCGCTGAATTTGGTCGTTACGGTTAAATACCTTCTACTGCTACTGTTAGCGCTCTTAATACTACTATCCTGATGCTATTATTATTCTGTTGATTGAACTATGTGTTCATTTCTAAAGGTATAATTGTACAACTACTTGTATTTTGACTTTTCTCGTTAAATACTGGTTAATTTATTATTTTATTGGTACTGCTACTACTACTATTATCTCTGTTGTATATTGATGAAATGTGCCGTTTATTCATGTGTGGCCCACTTCTAGATGCTTTTTGAAAAATGAATGCAGTTGTTTCAAAACTATATGTACATGTTATCTTTTATAAAGATTAGCAAAATATCGTGTACCTATTTTGTAGTAGTTCTGATGTTACAAACACTAATTAATGTACATCTCTCGGTCGTTTTCAATTTTATTTGTTGGAACAGTTTTTTTTTTTGATATCGTTCACAAAAGCTGTGCGTATTAGGTGTAGTACAAGAAAATTTCATAAATGGATCATTGAATTCGTGCATTGTAATGGTTTCATAAATTGTACATATACTCACTTTCAATGCGCTAAAGGAAGCATCGAATTTGGGAAGAGTGGGAGGAAGATGAAATTAGTGTGATAGGATTATATTTCCCTAGCAGTTGTATTGCTTTGCAAAACAAGCGATCTGAAATGATGGCGTAGGAAGTTCATTAATTATTAATCACCTTATTTACAATGCAACAGCATTCTTGTTGAAATGAGGGTAAGATTTGAAATTTGTATTTTAGATCATAATACAGTAATGTAGTGAAGAGGCCCTCATCATGTATCTATGTGCCAAAAGCATGTACTGCTACTATTACTGCAATTGTAAATAAATTTTGAAATGGATTTAGAATTAGGAAAATTGGTCATTTACATTTCAAAAAAAAAAAAAAAAATGATTGCTGGGAAAATTTTTTTAATGCATCATTAGTAGCCAATGCAAGTAAAAAAGGAAATTTTTTGGTTTTTCAGAATTTAATTAGAAGGTGTAATACTTCTTTGAAAAAGGCTGAGGTTTAGTAATCGAAGGCAGTGCAGCTTTTTGACAAATTTAGGATTTAGTGTGTAGAAATTTTTCATTTTTTGCAAAGATTTATGTATTTGCTGGTTGTTTGCTTCATTAGATGAATTTTTCCTTTATTATCCCATATATTGTATGCTTTTTTGACCGATAACATGTTAAATATTCGATGTGTTGTTGATCGTTTGCGTTCAAACGATGAATATATGTATTTTTGTGTGCTTTGCTGGTAATCAGAGACTAAGTGAATTATTGATAATGATAATAAT